GTTTTCAATTGCATAATTTAGAAAATTTCAAGATTAAATTGAATTAAGAAGTGCATTGTTTCAAAACGTTTGACAACTCTTTTCGTAGCTGACGAAAAGCGTCAAAATGTGTCAATGTTGCAAGTCAACCAGTTCTATTTATCTGTTGCTCGTTTTTTATTGCCTTTTGATATGTAGATTTGTAAAGTTCCAATGTGGTTTCACCCCAATCCACTTGGGTGGACGTTGTATATGGTGTCATCATTCGCCTACCTGTTTGTAAAGTGGCTTCAACTTATATTTGATCCACCTAGAGAAAGCACTGATAAAGTGGCTTCAACTTATATTTGATCCACCTAGAGAAAGCACTGATAAAGTGGCTTCTACTTATATTTGATCCACCTAGAGAAAGCACTGATAAAGTGGCTTCTACTTATATTTGATCCACCTAGAGAAAGCACTGAGGTGCCAAATTCTAACAGTTATTTATTCCACAAGACAAATCATTGCTTTTGTAGAAAATTATTAAATTTGGTGACCCCCCCCCCCCCCGTGATAACTTTAAACTGTGCACAGATAATTGTAACGATGTTTATCTATAGTAGGTTTTAATACGGCTGGATGTGGCAGGTTTACGTCATGGTGTCACCCCCCCCCCTGGATTTCTTAACTTAGCTCTTAGAAAACTAACTAATTAATCATTCATTTAACTGCACCAATCATTGCCATGGTGTCATCCCCCTAAATGATGTCACTCGGTGCGGTCCGCACCCCCCCCCCTCTGTTAACATCTGTGATGACGCAAGTTTACGTCAGATATGTCAAAAAGAAGTTAGCAGAAACAGAGCAAAGCTTAGTCAGATAGAACAATAGATGTACAGGAGAGGGCCGGTCACGTGAGACGGTCAGATGATCAGTGAAGCGTGGGTCAGCAGTTGGAGATAGCGCTAGAGCAGGGGGTCTCCAAACTACGGCCCGCGGAGATCTTTTTGTCCACGGGAAAAATGTCTGTTAGAGGTGGCTGAAGAACTTTGCCCAGAAAGTTTATAACAATTTGAAAATGTAGCCTTGGGTGCAAATACCATTGCCCTACATGTTGCAGACATTAGTGAAAACATCGTGACTCGAATAGCGAAAAATGCAAGCACGTTTCACTATATTTTAATTGCAATGCATGAGTCGCTGGAAAGCTGTTCCACCTCTTAACTGTTTGTGTTCTTTAGGGGTGTGGATGAAGACATGAACATAACACATTAGCTAGCTTCACTACATAATATGTATGGCACTTTTACCGGAGAGTTAAATAAAACATTTGCTGATTATAACTTGGACTGGACTAACCTCAGTTACCTGACTGTTGATGGGGAAAAGTACATTAGTTGCATAAAGAAAGGCTTGGTTGGACACGCGAATGAGAAAAACATTCTACAACCAATGCTCCTGCACTCTATTATCCATCAGCAAGCTTTGAGTGCTTAATATATGGACATTCGCAGTGTACTGAATCCTGTGGTCACATGGGCTCAACCATAGATATAGAATAGAATACGTGAAGAATAATTTGAGAGCAAACTTGGACCTCGAGTGTGTTGTCGGCCCCGACAGTGTTTCTTTCAGATTTTTTTCTCTTGGGGGGGGGGGGGGGGTCGGCACTTGAAATTTGTATATATTTATATATAAATTATATTTTATTGGCGGGGGGGGGGGGGGCTGGGCGGTGGACGTTTTTCGGGGGGGGGGGGGGGCTCCATAACACCGAAGATATGCCTTGAAAAAACTCTGGCCCCCCAAACTGATATTTGATAGTCCATCCGGCCCTCGGTCTGAAAAGTTTGGAGACCCCTGCGCTAGAGGAAAGATGTAAGAGTTAAAATGTAGAGTGTGTAGGGAGCGTTACTTGTATAGTGTTAGTAGACAGGTATTTGTTAGGGCGTAGTTATGGTAGGAGACAATTTGATGTGTAAATAAAGAACTGTATTATATTGAATTGGTCCTTTTGTGTTGATTCCACACTTTACCGGGTGTACATAAGAAGAGGCGACCTCCGTAGAAAGAATATATGCTGTATGTTCATTACAGTTATATATAGAATCAATCTTTCTACAACCCTGCATTACATTTGGTGGTAGAATTGCCACTATCACATTTGGTAGAGGAGCGGTTTCTTCAACTTGCACACTCACACTATGTACGAATTCTATTTTTTTTAAACGCATCGTTCTGTAAACTCATCCCTTAATGGACACAAAGTCTCTCTAGTCATTTCCAGTTGTTGGATGTTTGTATAGACAACATCAGGCTTATTAGATGACAGGGTGACATCAGACTTATTAGATGACAGGGTGACATCAGGCTTATTAGATGACAGGGTGACATCCAGGCTTATTAGATGACATCAGGCTTATTAGATGACAGGGTGACATCCAGGCTTATTAGATGACAGGGTGACATCCAGGCTTATTAGATGACAGGGTGACATCCAGGCTTATTAGATGACAGGGTGCATAAAAAGAAAGGAAAATTGGGGTAAAAAATTCATTTAATGTGAGCAGAAAAAGATTTTGACAAGGTGAGTTCTCCTGTTAGTATGGTCCTGGCACTCTGCCTTGCATGGGAGGTCTGACCATCGGCTTTAAATCATCAGCTGGGCCCCCAGATCCTCTGTCAAACAAATCTCTTTGGTTGTAACCGCTACAACATTAGAATACATTCAGTCAGACTGCTACAGATACAGGTCACAGAGATTGTCAGACTGCTACAGATACAGGTCACAGAGATTGTTAGACAGATACAGGTCACAGAGATTGTTAGACAGATACAGATACAGGTCACAGAGATTGTCAGACAGATACAGGTCACAGAGATTGTTAGACAGATACAGGTCACAGAGATTGTTAGACAGATACAGGTCACAGAGATTGTCAGACTGCTACAGATACAGGTCACAGAGATTGTTAGACAGATACAGGTCACAGAGATTATTAGACAGATACAGGTCACAGAGATTGTTAGACAGATACAGGTCACAGAGATTGTCAGACTGCTACAGATACAGGTCACAGAGATTGTCAGACTGATACAGGTCACAGAGATTGTTAGACAGATACAGGTCACAGAGATTGTCAGACTGCTACAGATACAGGTCACAGAGATTGTTAGACAGATACAGGTCACAGAGATTGTTAGACAGATACAGGTCACAGAGATTGTTAGACAGATACAGGTCACAGAGATTGTCAGACTGCTACAGATACAGGTCACAGAGATTGTCAGACTGATACAGGTCACAGAGATTGTCAGACTGCTACAGATACAGGTCACAGAGATTGTCAGACTTTTACAGGTCACAGAGATTGTCAGACTGCTACAGGTCACAGAGATTGTCAGACTGCTACAGATACAGGTCACAGAGATTGTCAGACTGCTACAGATACAGGTCACAGAGATTGTTAGACAGATACAGGTCACAGAGATTGTTAGACAGATACAGGTCACAGAGATTGTTAGACAGATACAGGTCACAGAGATTGTTAGACAGATACAGGTCACAGAGATTGTTAGACAGATACAGGTCACAGAGATTGTCAGACTGCTACAGATACAGGTCACAGAGATTGTTAGACAGATACAGGTCACAGAGATTGTTAGACAGATACAGGTCACAGAGATTGTTAGACAGATACAGGTCACAGAGATTGTTAGACAGATACAGGTCACAGAGATTGTCAGACTGCTACAGATACAGGTCACAGAGATTGTCAGGCTGCTACAGATACAGGTCACAGAGATTGTCAGACTGCTACAGATACAGGTCACAGAGATTGTTAGACAGATACAGGTCACAGAGATTGTCAGACTGCTAAAGATACAGGTCACAGAGATTGTCAGACAGATACAGGTCACAGAGATTGTTAGACAGATACAGGTCACAGAGATTGTCAGACTGCTACAGATACAGGTCACAGAGATTGTCAGACTGCTACAGATACAGGTCACAGAGATTGTCATACAGATACAGGTCACAGAGATTGTCAGACTGCTACAGATACAGGTCACAGAGATTGTCAGACTGATACAGATACAGGTCACAGAGATTGTCAGACTGCTACAGATACAGGTCACAGAGATTGTCAGACTGCTACAGATACAGGTCACAGAGATTGTCAGACAGATACAGGTCACAGAGATTGTTAGACAGATACAGATACAGGTCACAGAGATTGTCAGACTGCTACAGGTCACAGAGATTGTCAGACTGCTACAGATACAGGTCACAGAGATTGTCAGACTGATACAGGTCACAGAGATTGTCAGACTGCTACAGATACAGGTCACAGAGATTGTCAGACTTTTACAGGTCACAGAGATTGTCAGACTGCTACAGATACAGGTCACAGAGATTGTCAGACTGCTACAGATACAGGTCACAGAGATTGTTAGACAGATACAGGTCACAGAGATTGTTAGACAGATACAGGTCACAGAGATTGTTAGACAGATACAGGTCACAGAGATTGTTAGACAGATACAGGTCACAGAGATTGTTAGACAGATACAGGTCACAGAGATTGTCAGACTGCTACAGATACAGGTCACAGAGATTGTTAGACAGATACAGGTCACAGAGATTGTTAGACAGATACAGGTCACAGAGATTGTTAGACAGATACAGGTCACAGAGATTGTTAGACAGATACAGGTCACAGAGATTGTCAGACTGCTACAGATACAGGTCACAGAGATTGTCAGGCTGCTACAGATACAGGTCACAGAGATTGTCAGACTGCTACAGATACAGGTCACAGAGATTGTTAGACAGATACAGGTCACAGAGATTGTCAGACTGCTAAAGATACAGGTCACAGAGATTGTCAGACAGATACAGGTCACAGAGATTGTTAGACAGATACAGGTCACAGAGATTGTCAGACTGCTACAGATACAGGTCACAGAGATTGTCAGACTGCTACAGATGCAGGTCACAGAGATTGTCATACAGATACAGGTCACAGAGATTGTCAGACTGCTACAGATACAGGTCACAGAGATTGTCAGACTGATACAGATACAGGTCACAGAGATTGTCAGACTGCTACAGATACAGGTCACAGAGATTGTCAGACTGCTACAGATACAGGTCACAGAGATTGTCAGACAGATACAGGTCACAGAGATTGTTAGACAGATACAGATACAGGTCACAGAGATTGTCAGACTGCTACAGGTCACAGAGATTGTCAGACTGCTACAGATACAGGTCACAGAGATTGTCAGACTGATACAGATACAGGTCACAGAGATTGTTAGACAGATACAGGTCACAGAGATTGTTAGACAGATACAGGTCACAGAGATTGTCAGACTGCTACAGATACAGGTCACAGAGATTGTCAGACTGCTACAGATACAGGTCACAGAGATTGTCAGACTGATACAGATACAGGTCACAGAGATTGTCAGACAGATACAGGTCACAGAGATTGTCAGACTGCTACAGGTCACAGAGATTGTCAGACTGCTACAGATACAGGTCACAGAGATTGTCAGACTGATACAGATACAGGTCACAGAGATTGTCAGACTGCTACAGATACAGGTCACAGAGATTGTCAGACTGATACAGATACAGGTCACAGAGAGTGACAAGTCAAGTGTGACAATGTTGGATAGTGTCTCTAAATACTGTACCGAGTCAAGTGTGACAATGTTGGATAGTGTCTCTAAATACTGTACCAAGTCAAGTGTGACAATGTTGGATAGTGTCTCTAAATACTGTACCAAGTCAAGTGTGACAATGTTGGATAGTGTCTCTAAATACTGTACCAAGTCAAGTGTGACAATGTTGGATAGTGTCTCTAAATACTGTACCAAGTCAAGTGTGACAATGTTGGATAGTGTCTCTAAATACTGTACCAAGTCAAGTGTGACAATGTTGGATAGTGTCTCTAAATACTGTACCAAGTCAAGTGTGACAATGTTGGATAGTGTCTCTAAATACTGTACCAAGTCAAGTGTGACAATGTTGGATAGTGTCTCTAAATACTGTACCAAGTCAAGTGTGACAATGTTGGATAGTGTCTCTAAATACTGTACCAAGTCAAGTGTGACAATGTTGGATAGTGTCTCTAAATACTGTACCAAGTCAAGTGTGACAATGTTGGATAGTGTCTCTAAATACTGTACCAAGTCAAGTGTGACAATGTTGGATAGTGTCTCTAAATACTGTACCAAGTCAAGTGTGACAATGTTGGATAGTGTCTCTAAATACTGTACCAAGTCAAGTGTGACAATGTTGGATAGTGTCTCTAAATACTGTACCAAGTCAAGTGTGACAATGTTGGATAGTGTCTCTAAATACTGTACCAAGTCATGTGTGACAATGTTAGAGAGGACAACTCACATCAATTTGTCCCCATACGTGTCCATAGCTGCCAGCCTGAAACAAAAACAATGTCCTCTGGTTGATACAAGTTTTTACAGTGCTAAAATGTCCTCTGGTTGATACAAGTTTTTACAGTGCTAAAATGTCCTCTGGTTGATACAAGTTTTTACAGTGCTAAAATGTCCTCTGGTTGATACAAGTTTTTACAGTGCTAAAATGTCCTCTGGTTGATACAAGTTTTTACAGTGCTAAAATGTCCTTTGGTTGATACAAGTTTTTACAGTGCTAAAATGTCCTCTGGTTGATACAAGTTTTTACAGTGCTAAAATGTCCTCTGGTTGATACAAGTTTTTACAGTGCTAAAATGTCCTCTGGTTGATACAAGTTTTTACAGTGCTAAAATGTCCTCTGGTTGATACAAGTTTTTACAGTGCTAAAATGTCCTTTGGTTGATACAAGTTTTTACAGTGCTAAAATGTCCTCTGGTTGATACAAGTTTTTACAGTGCTAAAATGTCCTCTGGTTGATACAAGTTTTTACAGTGCTAAAATGTCCTCTGGTTGATACAAGTTTTTACAGTGCTAAAATGTCCTCTCGTTGATACAAGTTTTTACAGTGCTAAAATGTCCTCTGGTTGATACAAGTTTTTACAGTGCTAAAATGTCCTCTGGTTGATACAAGTTTTTACAGTGCTAAAATGTCCTCTGGTTGATACAAGTTTTTACAGTGCTAAAATGTCCTCTCGTTGATACAAGTTTTTACAGTGCTAAAATGTCCTCTCGTTGATACAAGTTTTTACAGTGCTAAAATGTCCTCTGGTTGATACAAGTTTTTACAGTGCTAAAATGTTCTTTGGTTGATACAAGTTTTTACAGTGCTAAAATGTCCTCTGGTTGATACAAGTTTTTACAGTGCTAAAATGTCCTCTCGTTGATACAAGTTTTTACAGTGCTAAAATGTCCTCTCGTTGATACAAGTTTTTACAGTGCTAAAATGTTCTTTGGTTGATACAAGTTTTTACAGTGCTAAAATGTCCTCTGGTTGATACAAGTTTTTACAGTGCTAAAATGTCCTTTGGTTGCTAAAATGGCTCAAAACTGGCACATGTTATCCTAGTTAACCAAGTGTATTCTAGTCTATAGCCATCTTAAACTAGACCCCTCCCCACACACACTCGGGTTTGCCTTCTGAGAATGTACTCACCTCCTTCTCTCATAATAATCATAGTAAGGATCTCTTGGGGGGGAAGACCTTCTGTAGTAGTCAGGTGAATGTCGGCCAAAATCTCGATACAGTGGCTCGCGGGCAACAGGTGGAGGAGGTGGCAGACGACGCTCATAGGGGTCAAATCTGTAGCGCTCATAAGGGTGTGGCGGCAGCATGCGAGCTCTGGCATAGTATTCATAAGGGTCTGGATAGTAAGGCTCCCTGTCATAAGGGCTGAAACCATCTCCAACATGTCCACCACGACCTCTGTTAGATCGGGATCTAAGTCAACAAGAAGAATCTTTCAGTGAGAATAAGTCAACAAGAAGAATCTTTCAGTGAGAATAAGTCAACAAGAAGAATCTTTCAGTGAGAATAAGTCAACAAGAAGAATCTTTCAGTGAGAATAAGTCAACAAGAAGAATCTTTCAGTGAGAATAAGTCAACAAGAAGAATCTTTCAGTGAGAATAAGTCAACAAGAAGAATCTTTCAGTGAGAATAAGTCAACAAGAAGAATCTTTCAGTGAGAATAAGTCAACAAGAAGAATCTTTCAGTGAGAATAAGTCAACAAGAAGAATCTTTCAGTGAGAATAAGTCAACAAGAAGAATCTTTCAGTGAGAATAAGTCAACAAGAAGAATCTTTCAGTGAGAATAAGTCAACAAGAAGAATCTTTCAGTGAGAATAAGTCAACAAGAAGAATCTTTCAGTGAGAATAAGTCAACAAGAAGAATCTTTCAGTGAGAATAAGTCAACAAGAAGAATCTTTCAGTGAGAATAAGTCAACAAGAAGAATCTTTCAGTGAGAATAAGTCAACAAGAAGAATCTTTCAGTGAGAATAAGTCAACAAGAAGAATCTTTCAGTGAGAATAAGTCAACAAGAAGAATCTTTCAGTGAGAATAAGTCAACAAGAAGAATCTTTCAGTGAGAATAAGTCAACAAGAAGAATCTTTCAGTGAGAATAAGTCAACAAGAAGAATCTTTCAGTGAGAATAAGTCAACAAGAAGAATCTTTCAGTGAGAATAAGTCAACAAGAAGAATCTTTCAGTGAGAATAAGTCAACAAGAAGAATCTTTCAGTGAGAATAAGTCAACAAGAAGAATCTTTCAGTGAGAATAAGTCAACAAGAAGAATCTTTCAGTGAGAATAAGTCAACAAGAAGAATCTTTCAGTGAGAATAAGTCAACAAGAAGAATCTTTCAGTGAGAATAAGTCAACAAGAAGAATCTTTCAGTGAGAATAAGTCAACAAGAAGAATCTTTCAGTGAGAATAAGTCAACAAGAAGAATCTTTCAGTGAGAATAAGTCAACAAGAAGAATCTTTCAGTGAGAATAAGTCAACAAGAAGAATCTTTCAGTGAGAATAAGTCAACAAGAAGAATCTTTCAGTGAGAATAAGTCAACAAGAAGAATCTTTCAGTGAGAATAAGTCAACAAGAAGAATCTTTCAGTGAGAATAAGTCAACAAGAAGAATCTTTCAGTGAGAATAAGTCAACAAGAAGAATCTTTCAGTGAGAATAAGTCAACAAGAAGAATCTTTCAGTGAGAATAAGTCAACAAGAAGAATCTTTCAGTGAGAATAAGTCAACAAGAAGAATCTTTCAGTGAGAATAAGTCAACAAGAAGAATCTTTCAGTGAGAATAAGTCAACAAGAAGAATCTTTCAGTGAGAATAAGTCAACAAGAAGAATCTTTCAGTGAGAATAAGTCAACAAGAAGAATCTTTCAGTGAGAATAAGTCAACAAGAAGAATCTTTCAGTGAGAATAAGTCAACAAGAAGAATCTTTCAGTGAGAATAAGTCAACAAGAAGAATCTTTCAGTGAGAATAAGTCAACAAGAAGAATCTTTCAGTGAGAATAAGTCAACAAGAAGAATCTTTCAGTGAGAATAAGTCAACAAGAAGAATCTTTCAGTGAGAATAAGTCAACAAGAAGAATCTTTCAGTGAGAATAAGTCAACAAGAAGAATCTTTCAGTGAGAATAAGTCAACAAGAAGAATCTTTCAGTGAGAATAAGTCAACAAGAAGAATCTTTCAGTGAGAATAAGTCAACAAGAAGAATCTTTCAGTGAGAATAAGTCAACAAGAAGAATCTTTCAGTGAGAATAAGTCAACAAGAAGAATCTTTCAGTGAGAATAAGTCAACAAGAAGAATCTTTCAGTGAGAATAAGTCAACAAGAAGAATCTTTCAGTGAGAATAAGTCAACAAGAAGAATCTTTCAGTGAGAATAAGTCAACAAGAAGAATCTTTCAGTGAGAAATTCAAACAAAGTTGAGGACACCTCTGTCTTACTGTCAGTCTTATTGTGTGTGTTTTATTGTGTTTGAATGTAATTGTGTTGTGTTGGGGTGATAGTACAGTTAGTTATGGTGTTGGGGTGTTAGTTATGGTGTTAAGGTGTTATAATGTTGGGGAGTTATTGTGTGTGTGCACTGGAGTTTGTGTGTGTGCTGGTGTTTATGTGTGTGCTGGTGTGTGTGTGTGCTGGTGTGTGTGTGTGTGCTGGTGTTTGTGTGTGTGCTGGTGTGTGTGTGCTGGTGTTTGTGTGTGTGCTGGTGTTTGTGTGTGTGCTGGTGTTTGTGTGTGTGCTGTTATGTGTGTACTGGTGTGTGTGTGCTGGTGTGCATGTGTTTGTGTGTGTGTGCTGGTGTGTGTGTGTGCTGGTGTGTGTGTGTGCTGGTGTTTGTGTGCTGGTGTTTGTGTGCTGGTGTTTGTGTGCTGGTGTTTGTGTGTGTGCTGGTGTTTGTGTGTGTGCTGGTGTTTGTGTGTGCTGGTGTTTGTGTGTGTTTGTGTGTGCTTGTGTGTGTGTGTGCTGGTGTGTGTGTGCTGGTGTGTGTGTACTGGTGTGTGTGTTTGTGTGTGTGTGTACTGGTGTGTGTGTACTGGTGTGTGTGTGCTGGTGTGTGTGTGCTGGTGTGTGTGCTGGTGTGTGTGTGCTGGTGTGTGTGTGCTGGTGTGTGTGTGCTGGTGTTTGTGAGTGCTTGTGTGTGTGTGCTGGTGTGTGTGCTGGTGTTTGTGTGTGTGTGCTGGTGTGTGTGCTGGTGTGTGTGTACTGGTGTGTGTGTGTTTGTGTGTGCTGGTGTGCGTGTGTTTGTGTGTGTGTGCTGGTGTGTGTGTGTGCTGGTGTGTGTGCTGGTGTGTGTGCTGGTGTGTGTGCTGGTGTGTGTGCTGGTGTGTGTGTGTTTGTGTGTGCTGGTGTGCGTGTGTTTGTGTGTGTGTGCTGGTGTGTGTGTGTGCTGGTGTGTGTGCTGGTGCTGGTGTGTGTGCTGGTGTGTGTGCTGGTGTGTGTGTGCTGGTGTGTGTGTGCTGGTGTGTGTGTGCTGGTGTTTGTGAGTGCTTGTGTGTGTGTGCTGGTGTGTGTGTGTGTGCTGGTGTGTGTGCTGGTGTGTGTGTGTGCTGGTGTGTGTGCTGGTGCTGGTGTGTATGCACAGTGTAAGGGGAAAGTTGAAGTGTGACTTACGGTCCTCTGGGACATTCCTTGGACCAATGACCTTCACCTCCACATCTGTAGCATTCTCCTTTACCTCCCATGCCAGCTTTCTGACGCACTTTGCTACGGGAAATCTTATACAAAATAAGCTGCATTAAAATACTTTCATATTTTTTTAATCTCAAAGTGTTTCTTAGTCAAAAACTTGTTTCCCTAATGTCCCTATCTCCACCCTAATGTCCCTACCTCCACTCTAATGTCCCTACTACCTACCTCTACCCTATTGTCCCTACTACCTACCTCCACCCTAATGTCCCTACCTCCACCCTAATGTCCCTACCTCCACCCTAATGTCCCTACTACCTAGCTCCACCCTAATGTCCCTACCTCTACCCTAATGTCCCTACTACCTACCTCCACCCTAATGTCCCTACTACCTAGCTCCACCCTAATGTCCCTACCTCCACCCTAATGTCCCTACCTCCACCCTAATGTCCCTACCTCCACCCTAATGTCCCTACTACCTAGCTCCACCCTAATGTCCCTACTACCTACCTCCTCCCTAATGTCCCTACTACCTAGCTCCACCCTAATGTCCCTACCTCCACCCTAATGTCCCTACTACCTACCTCTACCCTAATGTCCCTACTACCTACCTCCTCCCTAATGTCCCTACCTCTACCCTAATGTCCTTACCTCCACCCTAAATTCCCTACTATCTACCTCCTTCCTAATGTCCCTACCTCTACCCTAATGTCCTTACCTCCACCCTAATGTCCCTACCTCCACCCTAATGTCCCTACTACCTAGCTCCACCCTAATGTCCCTACTACCTACCTCTACCCTAATGTCCCTACTACATACCTCCACCCTAATGTCCCTACTACCTAGCTCCACCCTAATGTCCCTACCTCCACCCTAATGTCCCTACCTCCACCCTAATGTCCTTACCTCCACCCTAATGTCCCTACCTCCACCCTAATGTCCCTACTACCTAGCTCCACCCTAATGTCCCTACTACCTACCTCTACCCTAATGTCCCTACCTCCACCCTAATGTCCCTACCTCCACCCTAATGTCCCTACCTCTACCCTAATGTCCCTACTACATACCTCCACCCTAATGTCCCTACTACCTAGCTCCACCCTAATGTCCCTACCTCCACCCTAATGTCCCTACCTCCACCCTAATGTCCCTACCTCCACCCTAATGTCCCTACCTCCACCCTAATGTCCCTACTACCTAGCTCCACCCTAATGTCCCTACTACCTACCTCTACCCTAATGTCCCTAATACATACCTCCTCCCTAATGTCCCTACCGCTACCCTAATGTCCCTACTACCTACCTCCACCCTAATGTCCCTACCTCTACCCTATTGTCCCTACTACCTACTTCCTCCCTAATGTCCCTACCTCTACCCTAATGTCCCTACTACCTACCTCTACCCTAATATCCCTACTACCTACCTCTACTATAATGTCCCTACTACCTACCTCCACCCTAATGCCCCTACCTCCACCCTAATGTCCCTACTACCTACCTCCTTCCTAATGTCCCTCCTACCTACCTCCACCCTAATGTCCCTCCTACCTACCTCCACCCTAATATCCCTACTACCTACCTCTACTATAATGTCCCTACCTCCACCCTAATGTCCCTACCTCCACCCTAATGTCCCTACTACATACCTCCTCCCTAATGTCCCTACCGCTACCCTAATGTCCCTACCTCAACCCTAATGTCCCTACTACCTACCTCCACCCTAATGTCCCTACCTCTACCCTAATGTCCCCACTACCTACCTCCACCCTAATGTTGTTTCCATGATGTACTTGACCATCTAAGGCATCAGCTGCAGCTTTTGCTTCAGCTTCTTTTTCAAAGTGCTTTAGACAAATAACAAAATCAGTGTTAGGGTTAGGGTCAAGTTTGCAAAACATCTGGTCAAAATATTTTTTAAATCCTAATGATTTGTGAAAACTTACTACAAATCCATAGTCCTTGAGAATATCAAATTCAACAACATTGCCATATTTTCTAAACAGCTGCTCCAACTCCTCTTTGTCAGCATCTTCTGGTAAATTACCAACATATAACTTGGTGGCCACCATCTGAAATGTACATGGACAAATCAAATTTGTACCCATCTGAGACCCATGTGTCAGGTCCTAGACCCATGTGTGCCAGGGTCAGGTCCTAGACCCATGTGCCAGGGTCAGGTCCTAGACCCATGTGTGCCAGGGTCAGGTCCTAGACCCATGTGTGCAGGTCCTAGACCCATGTGTGCCAGGGTCAGGTCCTAGACCCATGTGTGCCAGGGTCAGGTCCTAGACCCATGTGTGCCAGGGTCAGGTCCTAGACCCATGTGTGCCAGGGTCAGGTCCTAGACCCATGTGTCAGGGTCAGGTCCTAGACCCATGTGTGTCAGGTCCTAGACCCATGTGTGCCAGGGTCAGGTCCTAGACCCATGTGTCAGGGTCAGGTCCTAGACCCATGTGTGCCAGGGTCAGGTCCTAGACCCATGTGTCAGGGTTAGGTCCTAGACCCATGTGTGCCAGGGTCAGGTCCTAGAAGGGTTAGGTCCTAGACCCATGTGTGCCAGGGTCAGGTCCTAGACCCATGTGTGCAGGTCCTAGACCCATGTGTGCCAGGGTCAGGTCCTAGACCCATGTGCCAGGGTCAGGTCCTAGACCCATGTGTGCCAGGGTCAGGTCCTAGACCCATGTGTGCCAGGGTCAGGTCCTAGACCCATGTGTGCAGGTCCTAGACCCATGTGCCAGGGTCAGGTCCTAGACCCATGTGCCAGGGTCAGGTCCTAGACCCATGTGTGCAGGTCCTAGACCCATGTGTCAGGGTCAGGTCCTAGACCCATGTGTCAGGGTTAGGTCCTAGACCCATGTGTGCCAGGGTCAGGTCCTAGACCCATGTGTCAGGGTTAGGTCCTAGACCCATGTGTGCCAGGGTCAGGTCCTAGACCCATGTGTGCAGGTCCTAGACCCATGTGTGCCAGGGTCAGGTCCTAGACCCATGTGTGCCAGGGTCAGGTCCTAGACCCATGTGTGCCAGGGTCAGGTCCTAGACCCATGTGTGCAGGTCCTAGACCCATGTGTCAGGGTCAGGTCCTAGACCCATGTGTGTCAGGGTCAGGTCCTAGACCCATGTGTCAGGCGGGCAAACAGATTGAGTTGGGGAAAAAAATTGTTAACCTTTATTTACACTTGCCTATTATGGTCAATGTTTAAAAGTGGATGATGCAAGGGGACCCAAACATACATGAGAAATCCAGCCTTGTGTCATATATATGAAGGCAATATTACAAAGTATTACAAACATCAGCCTGACACAATTATGACCACAAGGAGTAAAGAGGACTAAGTCATGCCCTCTACACATTTTTTTCAAGATAACTAACAACCTTTGTTCTAGTTAGGAAATTTTGGGCCTACAATTTAATCACAATGTTAACATTAAAACAAATAACTTTAACATAAGAGAGCTAACAGTAAACATTAAAAGGGTTTAATGGGGTGGTTCTGTAATTCCAAACTGTTTGCTTAAAGTTAAAAAAAAAACAAGCTCTTAAACTTTAACACTCAGACATATGTTATTAATATAATGTAAACAAGCCCTCTTAGAAAATTAGATTCAATGAAGATTCATATTCTTTAAACTGTCCAATACAATTCTTCTTGTTAGCTTCTCTAAGGGTTTTCAATTTTTATAATTAAAGTATTGAAGATTTATTATAAGTAATTCTTGAAAATAAATTCCCTTTTCAAACAAAAGGCCCATGGGACTAGGGAAGTAGAGTTTCTGTATCCTCACCCTATTAAGGGAAAGTCAGAAGAATGCTAGAACCTAATACAGGCCCATGTCTCTGTAATGGTGTATGCTGTGTAAGTGTAACCCTAACCTAATACAGGCCCATGGTGTATGCTGTGTAAGTGTAACCCTAACCTAATACAGGCCCATGGTGTATGCTGTGTAAGTGTAACCCTAACCTAATACAGGCCCATGGTGTATGCTGTGTAAGTGTAACCCTAACCTAATACAGGCCCATGTCTCTGTAATGGTGTATGCTGTTGTTGGAGGAATAAAGAATAAGAGTGCATGAGGTCAAAGTGCATGAGGTCAAACTTCTTAGAAAGTGTTACTGTAGATGAGAGAGATTATAAATTTCTTGTTGTATCTGCCTCAGTCAGTCAAATCATTCACGGGATCATTGTTGCATCACAATGTGTTTCTGACATGGGAGGATGGCATCAGCAAAGGTTGGCAAGACTTCAGTGTGGTGGCTCGCAAAATAGAATTCAGTGTGGTGGCTCAGAAAATAGACTTCAGTGTTTGGATCAGAAAATAGACTTCAGTGTGGTGGCTCAGAAAATAGACTTCAGTGTGGTGGCTCGCAAAATAGAATTCAGTGTGGTGGCTCAGAAAATAGACTTCCGTGTTTGGATCAGAAAATAGACTTCAGTGTGGTGGCTCAGAAAATAGACTTCAGTGTTTGGATCAAAAAATAGACTTCAGTGTTTGGATCAGAAAATAGACTTCAGTGTTTAGCTCTAGAAATGTGAGCTATCCTACCACATCTGATGATGTGAGTGAAAACTTTGTGTTTGGCTTCTTTTGAGTAATGTTAACCTTTGTCTTGTAAGATTTGGCAATATAACTGAATCCTTAAACTTTGTTATGTTCAATCACTAGAATTATTCCCATTTGTTTTTAAAAACAGTTTTTAAAATTCTCTCAAAATTGATGGGATTAACATAAATTATTTGAAATTTTTCAGGTTATGTTGTTATTCCCATAACAAACTGTATTGGGATTCATCACAGGAAGGAAGCTTTTGTTGTTATATAATCTGTGCATGATCCCTCTATATCTAAAATTCTATATATTAACATATATATATCTTGGTAAACAAATGTATGATATTATCTCTTAATTATAATATAATGCCACTTGTTTGGGACTACAAGTTGCAGATCCAAAACAAGGTTTTCACTTGAGCATCCAAGTAGCAAGCACTCTTAGGTGACCTGCAGGCAGTGCAGCTGCTTCCTTGTTTATTTTATTATGTAATAGGCTGATGAGTCTCAGTTTACTTGTTTACACTATTATGTAATAGGCTGATGAGTCTCAGTTTACACTATTATGTAATAGGCTGATGAGTCTTATTTACTTGTTTACACTATTATGTAGTAGGCTGATGAGTCTTAGTTTACTTGTTTACACTATTATGCAATAGGCTGATGAGTCTCAGTTTACTTGTTTACACTATTATGTAATAGGCTGATGAGTCTTAGTTTACTTGTTTACACTATTATGTAATAGGCTGATGAGTCTCAGTTTACTTGTTTACACTATTATGTAGTAGGCTGATGAGTCTTAGTTTACCAAAATAAGACAATTTTGGATGCTAATGTAAATTTGCCTGATAACTAAATGTAATTAGCATGGAAATGTTCCAGAAAAAATGAGTGTATGCACACAATGATTATTTTGCATTTAAAAATATAAATGTGATGTATGCATTTGTGCAGATATACAGAAGAGGAAAAATGAGCAGATAATAGAAGACAAGCATGACATTGCAACTCAACATTGCTGAAAAGAAGTATGCAAAGTCACTGACAGCTATTGATGTAACTGTTTTAGTATTCTTTGAAATTTAACGGTTTCAAGTTGTTCACAGTCCAAACTTTAAACTTTGCAGTTTATAACAGCATATGATTTTGTCAAAAGGATCTTGGGATATTTGGCAGGGTGGGATTGCTGGCATATGATGTCATTATTTAGCCAGGCAGTGTTCTAGTGCAGAGATAAAATTGTTTCAAATAATCAATACATAAAGAGAATTATTTTAGCCTCAGAGTTCCTGCATCAATGTGAACCTGAAGTTCCAGGAGAATTTTTCGAGAAGACAAAAACAATTTAATGTATCAAAAAAAGCAACATTTAAAATATTTAGTCTTTTATTTATTTTTCTACCATTTCATTCTGCATATTTTACAGGTATTTGTAAAGAAATATTTTGTAGAATCCAAAAAGACCCGTGAGATGAATGGCACTGGGGTCGTGTGACTGACGTTAATAAAATCATCTCGGTGATCGTTTTAATCAATAAAGAAGATATACTATGCAATATCAACAACTATAAAAGGTAAACAGAAAATTGCTGGAGAGTTATATCTTATAAAGAGAGTTATTAACATACAATCAAGGCTTTCATACTGCATACCCTTCGTCAGTGGACAACACTGCGCATTAACTAAGATTCAAGAAATATAGCGCAGCTCTAGTTTACATTCATAATGTTGATGAACCGGGTCTGTATAGCCAATACAGACTAATTGGAACCTGGCCCATTAACCTAAATATAGCCAGTACAGACTAATTGGCCCATTAACCTAAATATAGCCAGTACAGACTAATTGGCCCATTAACCTAAATATAGCCAATACAGACTAATTGGAACCTGGCCCATTAACCTAAATATAGCCAGTACAGACTAATTGGCCCATTAACCTAAATATAGCCAGTACAGACTAATTGGCCCATTAACCTAAATATAGCCAATACAGACTAATTGGAACCTGGCCCATTAACCTAAATATAGCCAGTACAGACTAATTGGAACCTGGCCCATTAACCTAAATATAGCCAGTACAGACTAATTGGAACCTGGCCCATTAACCTAAATATAGCCAGTACAGACTAATTGGAACCTGGCTCATTAACCTAAATATAGCCAGTACAGACTAATTGGCCCATTAACCTAAATATAGCCAGTACAGACTAATTGGCCCATTAACCTAAATCAGATCCAACGACGAGAATAAAAAAGACATAATGTGACCAGAAAAATCACTAAGTTTATGAATTCAAAACAACTAAAATCATGATAAGTGAAAAAATTATCTCAACCACAAAAACAAATTTCAAACAGAATTTACTTAACTAATATTAAATACACGCTTTGAAGTAAAAACCTACAATTTCATTCCCAAAAAAAAACTATTTTGAAATCTGCATTTCCCACCCAAAGTCTCTGCCCAAATGAAGTATTTTTATTTCTTTAAAAAAGTTTAAATGAATGTTCAATTTATTT